CCCAACAATAATAATTCAAAAATTAGATCTATTTGTTCTATGATCTTGGTAAAGTTAAAGGAAACCGCAGAAGCTTACCTTGGTACAAAAGTTAATAATGCCGTAATTACTTCACCAGCTTACTTTAATGAATCTTAACGTCAAGCAATAAAAGTTTCCGGTAAAATCGCTGGTTTGAAGGTATTACGCATAATTAATGAAGCAACCACGGCGGATATTGCTTATGGTTTGAATACAAAAGCTTGTGGTGAACGAAACATTCTTATATATGATTTAGGTGGTGATTCTTTTGATGTTTCACTCCTAACTATAGAAGGAATTTTGAAGTAAAAGCCGTTGCTGATGACACACATCTTGGCGGTGAAGATTTCGACAATCGACTTGTAAATCATTTCGTACAAGAATTCAACTAAAAATTTAAGGAAGTTCTTACAACGAATGCACGTACTTTCTGTCGATTAAGGACAGCTTGTGAACGTGCAAAGCGTGAACTTTCATCATCATTAAAACTTCGATAGAAATTGATTCTCTTTTCAAATATAACAATTTCTATACCTTCTTAACACGTGCAAAATTTGAAGAAATTGAATCAAGACTTATTTCAATCTACAATTGAACATGTTGAAAAGTATTTCGAGATTCTAAATTAGACAAAAGTCAAATTCATGAAATTGTTCTATTTGGTGGTTCAATACATATTCCTAAAATTCAAAAGATTGTATTTGAGTTCTTCAACGGTATAGAACCCGTTAATCCTGATAAAACCATGGCCTCATTCAAGCTGCTATTTTATCTGGTGATACTCTGAAAAGCTCAAGATTTTCTTTTACTCGATGTCGCTGCTTTATCTCTGGGTATTGAATCTACCGGCGGTATCACACGCTTATTGATAGATTTACCCGAAAATCCTAACTCTGTTCTAACAATACGAAATTAGACATAATTGTGGCTATAGTTGCGGGGCAAAACCCTAAACCCATTTTGGCAAAAGTCGAAACTTTTAAAAACTTGTTTCGACAGTTTCGATGGATTTCGACGGGTTTCAAGGGTTTCAAGGGTTTCAAGGGTTTCGATGGGTTTCGAGGGTTTCGATGAGTTTCGATGGGTCTAGAAAGTTTCGACGGGTTCGATAACAACTTTGCGATTTCTTAAAAAAGACGTAAATATATGATTATGTGATGATGGCAGCATTAAATAAACTAAACTGTGGACATAATCGATAATCAGACGTATATGTTTATTTTTTATCTGCTTAAAAGGAAATAAAATTTTAAATATGAACGCGAGCAGCTTATTTTCTAGAGCATAAGCATAAAATTACTTTTTTCCTTAACAAATAGAATATGTTCCTTAAAGATGAAATATAATGGTTCAGTTTCTTCCGGGTGAAAGATCTTCAAAATCATTGTCAATTTTGAATGAAAACCTATAAAAAAGGGGTCGCATTCATTTCACCGACAACCATTTTACCGACAATTATTTTACCGACAAACATTTCATAGACATGTTCATTTCACCGACAAACATTTTACCGACGATCATTTTACCGACGATCATTTTACCGACGATCATTTTTAC